TTGGAGCCTCTCTGGGTTACACTGATGTTCACTAAATACAGCTTAACACATCAAGTGGTGAGGAAGTTATCCACTAATGGAACAACAAATCTTTTACCTAATGGTACAGAATTGAGACTGGAGAGAAAAGGGGCAAAGGGTTCTCTTTGCACTAAGCGCAGAGAAGCAGTTTGAAATGCCAAGGCACAAATTATCCTGCATTCAGTGCAAATTTTGCTTCCTGTTTTTTTTTTTGTTGGTTTTTTTTTTTTGCTTCACAGTTTACAAACTGCCTGATATTTGACATGAAATTAGGCTTGAAAACTGTTTCATACTATTAAGCAAGGAACTTCCTTCCAAGACAGAAACAGTTAATTCTAGTATATTACCATTTATTATGGTTCAGTATTAAATAAGTTTCACCTGTACTTTGGTAGATTATAGGCCTTAATATTTTCATAACTTTTAGGACAGCACTGTGTTTGTTATGGTCATTTGTTAAATTTTTCAGTAAAAGAACCATAAACCAACATGTCTTGCCATGTTGAATACTCTTTTTTGTAACTTCAACATTGTAAATGCAACATTAAGTACATAAGGCGTGGTCTGTGTTGCTTTTGGACACAGAGTTAAATCACACTTTGATTATCAGTGTGTGTTGCCAAATGACCTGGGCAAGAAAATATAGTTGGCTCTTTGAGTATGGTAATAATGAAGTAGACTGAGGTGTGTGATTGTTTTTGCCTTTTGCAGAGCAGTCTAGCATAGTAAATTAGAATAAAATGAAAAGAATAATTTGCAGAAATTTAAATCGGAACAATCAAGAAGTAAACAGTATGACAGCAATCTTTAAGACACTTAGACATGATGGTGGCAATTTTATTTGACACAGACAGAAAATAAACTGCCTGGAAGTCTGCTCTAAGCTGTTCCTGGTTATTTCACTGCCGAACCTTTACCCTCCTCCTTCTTCCTGATCTGTCATCCAAATTGCTCATGTCATTGCTCCCTCCATGCTACAGACAAAATAAGTTAATAATGTGCTGTTTGAGCTGTATACATCAGTCAAAGATCTTAAAGGAGTTAGGAAACAACCATATAAATACCCTAGGAAATGCACTGGAGAGGAAGGCAACTTCTGGCAAGGCACTGGGGACAAGAGCTGAGGATGGTAATCCCTGCTAGCTGGCAAAGCTGGAGCTGGAGTAGGATGTGTGTCAGTGGCACACATGTGTGTGTTTGCTCACTCCCAAATGCATGATCCAAATTGGTAGAATTTTGAGGAAGTTGCACTTCCAATGGCCTGCCCTGCCTCAGAGAGAAAAGTCTCTAGGTTGTAGATTCCAGTAAAGCTCAGCTTGTCAGAGAACTCTAAGAGTAGCCTCAGGCACAGCAAGAGAGCTCTTTGAACAGCAGAATCAGAAGGGATTTCCTGTTTCTTTACATTTCAAGTGTGCATTTTCATTCAGGATACTGTCTAACAGTATGGTAACTGTAGGGAAAGCTCCTGATGTGATATTTCTGTATTGTGCTACCAGTTAAATAAAGCAAATCTAGATATTTGGAGGTGGGAGGGTGAAGGGATTTAAAGAGAGAAATCAAATTGCGCTATGCTACTCACCTAAAACCTCCCTACCTATTGAAGTGCCAATAACTGCACCCCTTTGAGGTTTTACTGGCTTTCACAGAACCTTTACATAACTGCAAATTTAATTAATTTGAGAAAATGGAATTTAGGTTTCACTGAATTAACCACTCCATGCTGAAGCATTGTGAATTCATGTTAACCTCCAAGAGACTTTTGAAGAGCACCCTCACAAGTTATCTCTGTCCTGGGAATATGATGAAATTAAGAATCACAAAGAGAACTCTCTGGCTTTCCTGGTACAGTGTTTATTGGGATAAATCATAATATTTTAAATACAGATAACTACAACAAAGTACATTGGATTGGATTAGACTTAATGAATTGGCTTGATACAGAGTTAACTATCTAAAATCCCATGTTACAATATTGTATATTGCATCACATTGCGAGTGGTCACTAAAACACCTGAAGGCTGGGGCTTGTGACAGAGTTTATTTGGTGTGTACTCATCATTCCACACAAGCAAGCATAGTTCTTGTGTTTCACTAAAATAAGTGGAGATTTCATCTTGTATTTCAATTGTGTGTTTGAGCTTTTTGTCCATTTTTCTTTGTGTGGGTGAAAGCACTGGTAAGTTGTCATCCTTTTTAGTTACCTTCACCATAAGCAAAATCATGCTAAGATACATGTGTGTATATAGTACTTTTTAACTTGAAGTATCCCTTTTTTCCCCCTTATTTCCAGATTTACAAGGGCCCAGACTGGTCGTTCCGATACACAGGCCTCCAGCTGAACTGTGAATACAGATTCCGCACATGTGCCATTCGCCAGTGCCAAGAGGCCACGGGTCACCAGGACCTAGTGGGCCCCTACAGTGCACCAGTGCTGTTCATCTCTCAGAGGACTGAGCCACCGGCAAGCACCAACAAGGACACTGTGCAAACCACAAGGACACAATGGTCACAGAGCGACCAAGTGTGTGCTGCTGTCATCCTTGCACTTTTTGCTATCTTTTCCATTCTGATTGCTGTTATCATTCAGTACTTCGTCATAAAGTGAAGAAAAGAGATCTATTTTATAATGCTGCCCATTACATTTTAGTTTCTCATAATCTAAAAGTAATTCTTTTCTCTTGCTTTTACAAAACCAGACATTTAGCACCGGCATTGGGACTGATGCAAACTTTCTCAGACACTTTAAAATGCTTACTCATAGGTATAGGCTGACACATGTTATTAAAATGCAAGCCACAGAAATATAATATTTTCTTTATATGCCTTCATGCAGTACAAACTTGATATGGGGCAGGCACACAGTGTTTAAGGAAAAGGGTATGACCAATAAACACAAGTGTAAAGGTGATTTCCTGGCCCACACTTCTAAGGGTTGCTAACATAACAGGGAAGAATGTGTAGATCGCATTTAAAACTTAAACTAACAAACTTGTGCTGTACACAATATTAATCTGATGCTGTGAAAGCAATTTAGCGCTGTATTTCTACCTCCTCATTTGTCTTAATTATTTGGGAAGCAGGATTTATGCTAAAAAACAGGAGGGGCTTTTCTCAGGCAGCAAATAATAAACTGGATGGAAGAGTATGCATGAAGGAAGCTTCTTACCTGATAAATGTGGAGTTCTTCACTGCAAGTAGATGTTTTCAAAAGACTACAAGGAGATGGCACAAGTGGTTTATCTTACCCCCAGGATTTGATGTTTATTTACAAAAAATGACGCTTTTACTTCTTCTGAATATAGAAGGGAGAGTGTGAGAGACCTTCTTAGATTTGTTATTTAAATTGAAAAACACATTTCCAAAGTTGACCTTTGATTGGATGCAGTTTATACAGATGTCTGTGCCCTCTGATTTTGGCTAGTCAACAGAATATTGAGATAAAATTCATTATTGAATTTTTGCTGTTTCCCCAACATTCACTTGCCATTTCCACCAGAAATAAGCACTGCCTTTTTTTTGTTTGTTTCTATCTTTCTTTCTCTTTTTCCCTTCCTTTTTTTTCTTTTCTTCTTTCTTTCTTTGGGGCACCAAATCAGAAGACGAAGTGTAGTAATTTGCACCAGAAAACTTAAAGCTGCTTTTTTCTTGAGATCCTAATGTTTAATGTAATGTCTCTTTGGATACTGTACCAAATTGTTGATTGCATGTAGTTAATGTTGCATTAGAGCACTTTGCAATTGCATAACTCATCAATGTTTTGTGAGCTTGCATTTGTGAGTTCTTGAATGACCAGACTGAATTTTAACAAGTATCCCATTGAACATCTTGCTAGATGTCAATGATTGCCAGTGACACAAAGCTTGTAGTGATACTATCTTTAAAAAAAAAAAATCCTTGTCTCATCACACTTATGTTATTTGTTATACACTTTGTAATTAGCTACTTTTAATTTATTTGAGTTACAAGATAGTGGATCATTAATGACTTCTAGTTGTGTTCAGTTTTGCATTTTTAATAGTATTAAACACTTCTGTCAGTCTTAATAATAATAAAAAAGGAACCTCTGTCTTGTGCTTTGAAGATCTCTGAAGAATTTCTTATATTAGAACGGGCATGTATTGTAATTGTTTATACGTCCAATGATCTGTGCTGTAGAATAATGTTGCTGAGTTTTGTTTTTTTTAAAGAAAAAAAAAGAAGAAATGGTGAAGAACTTGGCCTCCACGTGGCAAGAACGATTTGTCTTGAAAATGTACTGTATGTTTACATTTTATTTCTAATTTGTCATTTGTACGTATCGGTTGATACCTTCCCGCAGGATACCGCGATAACTGATGTTTTTCTAGAACCTTCTTAAAAGTGCCATGTTTGGCAGTGCAAATGAGGTTGCGTGTCACAGCCCAGAGATTTCTTATGGTTGAATGTCTAAAACGGTGAGATTTGTTACTGCAGGCAACCTGCAGTGACTTACGTTTTTCATAGTAAAATTCAAATGAGCTCCTATTTTTGATAGTCATTTAATAGTGTATTTGCCATTTGAGCCTCAGTGCATATTACTGCATTGAAGACAGTTTTTAATGTAATCTTAATTTTACCTCATATACTGTACATTCCAAAAAGAAATAAAAATATAAACTCTAAAGTTTTTAAAACGCTATAGATACACTACCAAACATATCACTTTACGGTTGTACAACGTTGGGCTCCATGAAGACGAACCTGTATCGTCTGATAGAAAATACATGAAACGATGTAGCAAAGTACCTTTAAGAGTCTGTGGACAATAATAAAAGTACCTTCTTTTTCGCTGCTGGTGGTCAGTCCTGTGCGCGCACGGCCGCCGCCCCTCTCCCCTCCCTCCTCCCCTGCCCTGGGTGCCGCGGGGCCCGCGGGCGGGGCGGGGCGCGGTACCTGCGCGGGCGGAGGGGCCGCGGGCGGGGCGGGGCCGCGGGCAGGACGGCGCTGCCCGGGCACGGCGCGGGATGCGGCGCGGCGCCGGCGGGAACGGCAGCGAGGGCGAGCCCGAGTGGCCGTGGCCGTGGCCGCCCTGCGACGAGCGGCTGTGCCCGGCGCTCCCCATGTGGGTGCTCGTTCCCATCACGGCCGTCTGCTTGGGGCTCTTCGTGGTCGGCGTGGCGGGCAATGTCCTCACTGTGCTGGTCGTTAGCAGCTGCCGAGACATGAAGACCACCACCAACCTCTACCTGGGCAGCATGGCCGTCTCGGACCTGCTCATCCTCATGGGGCTGCCCTTCGACCTCTACCGCCTCTGGCGCTCCCGACCCTGGATCTTCGGGCAGCTGCTGTGCCGCCTCTCGCACTACCTCAGCGAGGGCTGCACCTACTGCACCATCCTCCACATCACCGCCCTCACCGTGGAGCGCTACCTCGCCATCTGCTTCCCCCTCAAAGCCAAGGTGGTCGTCACCAAGCGCCGGGTGAAAGCCACCATCGGCGTCCTTTGGGCCTTTGCCTTGCTCTCCGCTAGCCCCTTCTTCTTCCTGGTCGGCGTGGAGCAGCCCGACAACTACACTGCCTTCAGCCGCGAGTGCAAGCCCACCCCGCAGGCGCTGCAGTCCGGCCTGCTGGCCACCATGTTCTGGGTCACCACCTGCTACTTCGTGCTGCCCGTCACCTGCCTCGCCGTCCTCTACGCCTGCATCGGCCGCGAGCTGTGGCGGAGCAGCACCCGCCTGCGGGGCCCCAGCTCGCTCCTCCGGGACAAGGGGCACCGCCAGACAATCAGGATCCTGGGTGAGTCCCGCTGCCATCCCCCCGGGCTACGTCTGGGGCGAGGACCAGGGCTTAGGGGACCACGGCAGTGCTGAAGCACCCGCAGCTCCCGTGCAGGATAAGGAATAGCACGGGGGGACGTCCCAGACACGCTCCTGGGAACTGCCACGGCAGGGATTTCACTCCCTCCCAGCTGAGGCTTCACCGCGTGGCGTTGCACATCCAGCAGCACGACTGCCTTCCGTAGAAATACCCGTTTCCTGAATTTTACTAGGCAGAATCAAGTACAAGGTAGCCTGAAATTTCAGAAAAAAATGTGGTAACATCAGCAGTCTCTTCCAGTTGGCAGCAACACCTCTGCATAGAAAATTTCTGCTTCTGAAAACTAAGTTCTTAGTGGTCATTTGTAGCTCTCCAAGGAGTAAATCCACTGGTTGTCCAAGGAGGCTGAAAAACAGCAACTTAGCCCCTACAAGCTGTTTGAAGACAAATCTCATAATACCAAAGCACTTCCTACAGATGGAGGATGCTGATAATTTTTAGTTCATTTTCTTAGTCATATATTCAGTAACCGAGCATCAGACTCTGGAAAGTTAGAGATCTTAGTCTGCTTTGGGGCTTTAATGTTTGTAGGTAGTGACCAGTTTGAAGGGAAAGAAAAAAGAAATCCAGCTATTGACTAAGGAACAATAAAACAAGATGCCCTAAATATTATTTTTGCCTACCTTTAGTGTAGTTTTTATATATCACATGGAAGACTTCTTTTACTGAGAGTGTAATCAGCTGGATGGAAATAGCGTAGCACAAAGGAAAGAAACCAATAAGCCTGAGAGAATTTTGCCGACTTATTTGAGGAAGGTACTTACACTGAAGTAGGCAGGTTTTCTGACAGAAACACCCATATTCATGATCTCAGAACCCACTGAATGAGACCAGTGCCCCCTTATCTCAAAGATCCAGCAGCAATAGGTGTGTGTTGTTTTTTCAGAAGAAAACTTTGTTTGGCTGCATCCCTTTTATTTAAGCTCTGAGAAACACGAAGGATGCTCTACAAATGATTGTTTTAGCTGCATGCATTTATAAACAAGAATAATTAAAAGTCTGGATACAGTAATACACTTATCTAATTGTTTCTCATCTACTCCAGCTGTGTTGCCATTGCATGAGGGTTTGTATTTGTTCTTATTGTACTAAATTGCAACACAGGACCAGGTGAACAGCTGAAGTGACTCGGGCTAGAGATCCATCTAGGCAAATAGCCATCTCCAGCAGTAATGATCTGGGGATGCATGAAAAAGCTTTAGTGGAAAAAATCAATAGCTCAACTACACTATAAAGTCTTTATGTTAGATACCATCCCATCACAATAGTGCGAATTCTGTGGGATCTTGGGTGACTGAGGTGCAGCCTGGGTCTTTTTCAAGTTAAACAACAGCTCTGCAGCAAATGGAGCTGCTGTGGAGCTTCCACAAAATCTCCTCATTCTGACTTTTTATTTTCCTGTCTCATATGTGGCATTAATAACATAGCCAGGGGAGATTTCTGATATTATTATACAGATGTTACTCCACTGTTGTCGTTCACATTTTTCTCAGCAAACCTCATATCAAAGTTTAGCTTAAAATTTTACTAGTTACTTTTTACTTCACAGACTAACAGTCAGACTTTATGCTATTCCCATTTTCCCAGTTTTCCAACAATTTAATGCCATTATTTCTATATATAATTTGTATCAGTTAGAAGAACCTGCAAAATCAGCCACGTAAAATTTAGTTTACTGGATGGTTGAAAAGTTAACTCACTCCTTAACTGCCTCATGTGTTATTTTGTCTTATAGCTGTGGTGGTTCTGGCCTTTGTAATTTGCTGGTTGCCTTTCCACATTGGCAGGATCATATTTATAAACACCCGGGACATGAGGACGATGCTGTTCTCCCAGTACTTTAATATATTCGCCTTGCAGCTTTTCTACCTGAGCGCATCCATCAACCCTGTCCTCTACAACCTCGTTTCGAAGAAGTACAGGGCAGCAGCCTGCAAGCTGCTGCTGCCATGCCGAGCTGCAGAAAGGGCTTTCACGGTAGCCAAAGACGCTGGGGGCTACACAGAGACCAGCGCCAGCACAAGGAACGAGTACACCACCAGCTTCTGAGACTGCACCCACACTTCTTCAGGCCTTCTTGCCTAAGGAAGGGAACCTCCTTCTCAGGGCAGAGTCGCAAAAGGATGGACATTTGTTAGGGCATGTGGTGTTTCATAACTGTCTGCATTTTGGGATACCTGTATTTTTGATACCAGAGCAAGCAGGCACCATGAAGTAGGGAGAATGATGTGCAACTCGTGAAAGATGATAAGTCAATAGGAGAAGCTGGAGTAAATTTCCAGTAAAACCACGGGTTTGCTTTATTACATAGGGTTCATTGCACGTGTTCTGTGCCATTTCCAGTATTTTCTAAAGATCATAACACCAAGGTCTGCAAAGGAGCACTTCTTGGGAGCTGTAATGGGTAAAATTCCCAGACAGCCTTCACCATTTTAAAATGGTTTTCTTATAAACAAAATTTTACAAAACAGACTCTTGCAAAGAGATGGATGCAAAAAAACCCCACCTGAACAGCCCTGGAAAAAGGCATATGCTTTTACTACCTGGTCTTGTAATCATGAAGGGAACTTTTCCTTAGGAAAGCATCTGCTGCTGTTTCTCTGGGCTTAACCCTTTGGGCCTGGCCCACAGGATCAAATAAGGTCTTTTATTTATATATTAGCAGCCTGTTGTAAAACTTGAGATATCTCAGATCACTTCCTTAGGCTAGATGAGAAGTGTTTGGTAATTAGTAGCAGTGTGTCTCCACTGTGTCACATTGTGTATTGTGTGTGCAAGTAATACATCAAGTTAACCCACCTTGCCACAAACAAGACCCATCACTGAATGTGCTGGACTATGCTCAGGACTTCATGCTGCATAACACTGCACTGCAAGTCAAAAACCAGCTCACTAATTCTGCTCCAAAAGATTTTAATTGGAAACTTCAACTGTACAACTTAGGAAGGAGGCTGGTTGTGAGGAAAAGCTAGAAGAAGCTGCAGCAGTGTTTTCTGTGGAGGATCATCGCCTCTGTTCATTTTACTTGTTACTTTATTGGCTCCAGTGGTGTAAATCTGGACCAAAATCAATTATGTGGGACTGCACTTACAGAAGCATCACTGATGGTATGTCCATGTTTGCCCTTGGTTCTCTGTTAATTTCCCCTTTCAGGCAGTTGTTGAGAGTGATAACTGTCCCCTCTGAGCCTCCTTTTATATAGGCTAAACACCCCCATCTCCCTCAGCCACTCCTGAGTTGTGCTCCAGAGCCTTTACCAGCTCCACTGCCCTTCTCTGGACATGCTCCAGCACCTCAATGTCCTTCTTGTAGTGAGGGGCCCAGAACTGGAGACAGGATTCAAGGTGTGGCTTCACCAGGGCTGAGTACAGGGGCACAATCACTGCTGGAGTCCTGCTGGCCGCACTGGCTGATGCAGGCCAGGATGCCATTGGCCTTCTTGGCCACCTGGGCACGCTCTGGCTCATGTTCAGCCACTATCAGCCAGCACCCCCAGGTCACTTTCTGCTGGGCCACTTTGCAGCCACACTTCCCTAAGCCTGTAGCACTGCCTGGGGCTGTTGAGGCCAAAGTACAGGACCCAGCACTTGGCCTTACTGAGCTTCATACAACTGTCCTCAGCCATCAATCCAGCCTGTCCAGATAAATTCAACAGAATTCAACAGCTAGCTCAGAGATCTCTGTCAGGGTCAGCTTGGCAAGACCCCAACAGAGTGAAAGTCCTTTTCTTTCTAGCCTGGCTGCTGAAGAAAAGGTCTGGAATGTGTGAAGCCGAGTTTTCAAGGTTGTTTATTTTTTCTTATTTATAATAGTTTCTCTCTGACCTGCCGAGGTGCAGCTAGTACAGAAGCCATGGCAGCCTCCTCTGAGCCCCAGGCATATCCCACATTATATACTCAAAATTATGTGTACCTGTTTACAGTTCCCATACCAATACCTAAAATCTATGTTGGACAGTGTGTCTCTATCCTAGACCAATAGAAAAGTGTCACTATCACACCAAGACATGGAGGACAAGAAGAAGGAAGAAGAGGCTAGGGCATGCCCAGATTCCTCCATCTTGTACCCCTGAATTACATTCTAAAAAATCCCAAAATTCTACTTTTCCACCCTGTGTCAATTCCCCTATTACACTACTCAAGCCCTTTTGGCTTGTAATTCCTCATATAAGGTTGGCAGCCTCTCCCATGGGCTAAAATTGAAGCTACAGGTGTTTTCGACTTGCTGCCAAGGTCCCTGAGCCCCTTGCCAGGGTCTCGAGGCATCCGGGGCAGCCAAAGGGATGCTCTAGACTCCGACAATCTCAGGGCAGCAGAGTTGAACCCAAGTCTTCTCTAAGTTTTAAAAATATGACCAGTTCTCCATTAAAGAGTCTGTAACTCTGAGTCACTGAATAAAAACTAAAAAAATCTAAAAACAGGGGAAAAAAATCTATCTCACTGCATACACATAAAGTTTTATTTTTCTGTCAGCTTCATATTGGTGGAGAGCAGTTGTCTGCAACACTTGAGTTAGGTTGCTTTTGCTGGGGGGGTGTCATTAAGATGTTCAGTTATCATAAAAGAACAGCTGTAATTTTTGAGGGGTTTGGAGAAGTTGTTATGGAAAGTAATCTTTGTACATGTATGCAGACCAAGGGGAGGAAAAAAGCTTTATCACATAGTTATGTGGCCATGGAGCTGCTTCTGCTTGCCTGCAGTGTCCTGATAATGGCTTTTGCTTTATCAATTGCTGCTAAATTGCACTGGGAGTGAAATACTTGCTCATCAGAAATTTCCCCAAAAGCAATTGCATAGGTACCAGATGTACAAAATGAGTGGAGGAAGGAGGGAAATGCCCTGGTGAGCTGCTGCCCTGAACCCCATTTTCTAGGGTGCCCTCCCTGGCACAGACAGCCCTGGCACTGCTCTGCTCTGTGTGTGTGCTGGCTGTCCAAGGCGGGTCCCTCTCAGCCAGGACTCCAGCTCTCTGCTCCCAAGCTGCTCATGGAGTGACTGTGTTTCTGCAGGGAGCTCCAGGCTTGGGCTGCTCCTGCCCAGCCTCAGATGCTGCAGCAGCAGGCTTCTGTTCCCACTGGCAGTTTCCATTGAAATGGTCTAGTTTTCTGGGAGAGTCATTTGTATCCCTTTCATGCTTGGTAGAATAACACAGGCAGCAAAATCCCACATGTGAGCTTGTTGTTAATGCTCCCTCTCCACCAGAGCAAAGGCTTAGGAAATAGATGAAGTTTCTTTGGGGTGTTTAGAATTTACCAGGCCTGGCACTGCTGTCTCTGGCACTCAGTACTGGATTGTTTAAGCAGAGATGTTGTAAATAAAATAACACTTCCCAGGAACTCTGAGTCCAGCTGCAAGCAGGCTATCTCTAAGTATTTGACAAGTAGTTTCCATACCATTAAGCCTATAAAATACAAGAGAGCATGGTCTAGAAGGAGAGAGAAAATGGGGCAGGGATGTGGAATAAAAGCACAGAGACCAGGTGATAAAAAGGGAAGCATGGTGAGATAGTCTCTTTTTTAAAGCATGCTGAAAATCATAGGAAAGAAGATAGGCAATTTGACAGAACCCTGATATTTGCTAGAGTTGTGGCTGTACTGAGGAAGAGCTGAACCCAAAGTTAGCCACCTGAAGCTTGAAAGGAACCTAAAACTGTTCCTTTTAAACATATGAACAGGTTTTTCTTAACAGAGAGGAAAGAAATTCTTCCCATAGACCATAGTTTAAAGGCAGAGCTTGGCCCCCAGCACGAGGGTGGCATTGCAGTATGGGAGGGAGGAAGGAGACAACAGAGAGGAAGATCGGGAGGGAGATATGGACAGGAGGGAGGGAGGGACCTCTCAAGACTTCTCAAGTTCAAAGCTGCTCTTGTACTTGGCTGGAGTGATGCTGTCTCCAAGGGCCATGTGCAGCTGGCCTGGCAAACAGAGAGGTACAGGGATACATTTCCTTCCCACGGTCATCCCCTTAAAATTCCTTTTGTCACTGTGCTGCATCACTCCTACAGGAAACACAAAGGCTAAGGCTGTCTCAGCAATCAAACAAAGGGATTATACAAAGAGGGGAAGCAAATAGGTATAAAATGGCCCAAACTGCTCTGAATTAGCTAAACCAACAAACATGGTCTTGACCTTGGATCAGTCGAGTCTGATGGGAACAAACCCCAGCATCCCTGGGGAGCCACTTCCTATTTGTTTTAGGAGCAGGCTTAACATTGCCAAAATTGCCAATTCTATGATAAAATTAGTGTCCAGAAGTATAGTTCACTGATTTAGAGAACTATTTACAAACTGGTTTACTGTTGCTATATGCTCCTGGTCACCTGTGGTGCTGCACTTGATCTTTGGTGGGGATTTCCTGGAACTCAGAAGAAAATTGGGAAGAAGACTGCAAGTGGGGAAAAGGTTTGCATTTGAGGAGTTGGGGGACAGACACAAAATTTAACCACCTGTGCACTTGGTACTAGTAGATGTTAAAAGATTTTTCCATCAGACAAAGCACAGCACTTTCCACAGGCTCAAGTCCAGTTGTTGCATTGTTGTTTACTTCTGAGGCAGGCTTGGTGCTTCTCATGACAAGGCAGACAAGGGTTTGCAACATCTGGGTGAATATCAAGGGGCCAAGGATCTCTGGTGCCTGCCCAGACATCACTGATGGAACCTCAAACTGAGCCTCAAAATACTAAGAAGCAAAAGCAATGCTGTCTTCTGCTCAGTGTCCCTACTGTGGGAACCCTACTCTGGTGACCCAAAATGTTAAGGCTGATGTCATCCAGTCCTTCTGTGGACCACACAAATCTTCAAGCCAGTCACCAAAACCCAAGGTTTCCAGAGAATTTAAGAAAGCCAGTTTTGGATCAGAAAATGGCTGTCCAGGTTGGGAATCTAACAGAGATGAGGTTGGAATCTCCTCCTGCAGCAGCTCCTGCTTTGTTCTTCCTGAGGCTGCACATGTCCAAGAGTCCATGTCCTCAGTCCCCCAAAGCCAGGATCAGAGCTGCCCTACACATCATCTCAATTTCCTTCCCAGTGGCTGAGGGCTTCCAGGCCCCCTGGAACAGCAGAAATCCAAGGGTATATACCCAGGATGGGGGTGGCATATGCCCTGGGAGAGGACAGAGAGCCGTAGGGCTGACAACTCTGTCCTACCTCTCACTTGCCTCATCTTCTCCTCAGATCACTCCATTTACATGCTGTCCCTTTTCCAAGATGAGTCCTGCTCCTTCTATCTCCACTTTTGGATTTCATCTTCCTTCTCCTGCTGTGGAGCACAGCTAATGCTGTCTGCTTTCCCT